ATCTTTACCTCTGATAGAGAAAAGACATCTTTGTGTTATTGGACTTTTTACTCTAAACCTACTTGTGACAACTTACCCCAGCCCAGTCTACCCTATTTTATTACTTAAAGAATTATGTGATAGAATTATCTTAAGGGTCAGTATTATTTGAAACTTAATAGCATTTGGATGTGCCATGCTGTATATAATTTTATCCTTGCAGAAAGTGCAGTCGGTTCCTGGGTGAAGAGTTGACTGTAAGGGTTGTTTTGAAAGGAGCCGCTCCATTCTCTGTGCTATGGAGTTTATCTGCTTATTTGTATTTGTTGGCGCTTTGCCGCATCTCCAAAGTGGACGTAAGTGCCATCCTCTGCTGCAGCCAGGCATTTATTTTCCTCCTTTCATGGATTGGACTCAAGGACCGTTTCATGGGTGTCAGGGTAAGCAATCAAATAGGATATCTAGTGTTGTGTGAGTGATTTGATAATTGCTTGTTTTTTCGCCAATTTTTGTCTGTTCTCTATTTAGATAGTGGCTGCCATCCTGTCCATCACTGGCATTGTTATGTTGGCCTATGGTGATGGTTTTCATAGCGACTCAATCACAGGAGTAGCACTAGGAGTTGGTTCAGCTTCAGCTTCTGCTTTATTCAAGGTTAGCACTAGTGGTAGGGATTTGAATTCATCCCAGTGTTCACTAAAAAGATTCATTCAGAATGGTACAGTGATTCATTCAGTGACCTTGTCTAGTTATACAGTTACTATAACTGTTTAACCAATTTGTTATCAACTCAGTCATTCACAATCAAAACAATTATTTTTGCTTAAAATGTGTGTGTCTACTAAACCACTACAAACCTCCAGAAAAGACTGTATAAGGTTAAGGTTTTCTTTAAACCTGTACATGTGTAAACATCTGATACAAACGTAATATTCTGCATTTTTACTGCAGTAGTTGTTTATAGTTTTATGTCTCAGGTACTTTTCAGAAAACATGCAGGAAATGTCCAGCCAGGCCCTGCCAGTGTGATGCTGTCCTGTGTGGGTCTGTGTAGCTTTATCCTCCACTCCTGGGTGTGTGTATTGCTTTATTTCACACATGTGGAATACTGGCCTCCCTCTCAGCACATCCCCTGGGATAAACTTTGTGTCATGGCTTCTCTGCTGCTTGGTAATTTATTATTTGTTTTCCACTATGCATTATGTAATAATGATTCCACTCAATGTTATTATTATTAATATTATAAATATTCCATGGAAAAAATATAATAGGTCAGAATTTTATTTGCCTTTATCTGAAGTAACTTTTATTTAATTTTTGTCCTGTTTCTCCTAAGTTTTCAATGTGCTGGTAAACCTGGGAGGAATATTTACGTACCCCAGTTTAATTTCACTGGGAATTCTCTTGACCATCCCAGCGAGTGCAGGTATGAATTTGATTATAAATAAGTTGTCAAATAGACCTGAAGCCTCACAGACAGTGGTGTAGTGGTGCATTGAGAAGTCAGTATACTCTTAATTTATGCCCCCAATTTGTTTAAGCAGCCCAGCAAAGAATGAACACCATGTGTTATACACAGTGACATGTAAAACTAGTCTTGTATATTTAGTTAACCCCAAAATGGGCCAGTAGTATTTGCACACTGTCACTTAACTTCTGCTGCTTGACTTCACGGAGTAAGGATCATTATGAAATTAATATTAGCCACAGAAGAGGTGCAATAAATAATTCAAAAAAAATAAAATAAATAAATAAGTAGACTTCAGCAATTAACATTTTGTCAGAGCCTCTAGTAAATTACATGCTATTTTCTTTAGTGGTCTGTTCAGAATAGTGGGAGAATCATGATCTATATTTGAAAAAAAAAAAATTTGATTCTCAATTTATCCAGAATTGTGCAGCTCTGCTCCAGCGTGTGACTGACTGTTTCTCCCATGACATAGTGATGGGCAAAATGGTAATTTCGAGCCCTGACACATGGGCGTGGCCATCATTTCAGAAGTGAGAGGGACAGAAATGTCAAATATAATAATACCTTTTTTTTCTGGTCTAATTGACAGGTTTTATTATTATTATTATTATTATTATTATTATCCTATCTCTTACTTTTAATTGGTTGAGAAATCAAATACACTGCTGGACAATAACCAATAATTTGTGTTCTATAATATTTTTTCTATATTTTCCTAATGTTAATTTTATGATTTGTTTATATACAAACACTTTTCCATTGTTATATTTTATATTTCATATATTTAATAGTTTCTATAGCTAACTGTAATAAATGCTATGTCAAATAGCACTGCATTATTTAGATGCTTTTTTATTACCTGGAGATTCCTTGAAAAACACACATAAACTATATATTGTCGCATTCGTGTGTTTATTGTCTTTATGTTTCATCAGTCAAAACGTTTCTTTTTATTCAGCTTAGCTACAGCAGAGATTGCGTTGGCTACAATAGCTGGATGCCTTTATCCATATTAGGGATTTCCTGGCACATCATAGGTTATTACTTCTATGAGGCTGTTTTGGACTTTCTGAGTATGAATGAAACACACTGCATGAGAGCATTTACACCTCGGTCCTGACCGCATCACTTCTTTACTGGGTGTTTTTAGGGAATATTTGCATTTATTCACATGCGATTGGATTAGCTACTCACGTTCTGGACTCTCATGATTTTGGCTAATGCAGGACAACTGAATGATGTGCATCAGAGGGGATTTAGAAGTGGCTATACACAATGCCGACTGCTCACAGAGATGTGAAATAGAGCGCTGCAGTGATGATGTATTTTTGTAGGCCAACCAGGGTGTTAGCATCTCCCTGGTTCCCTTGACAAAAACCCAGTAGGATTTTTACTTTTGGATTATTGCAGAAAATAAGCTCTGTGACCAAAAAAAAGTTTAGGATTCTTACAAGTTTAATTCATCATGTTAAACTTCACACATGAACACAACTTTTATGAATTTTGAAACCTGAATGATCGGCAGAAATAAAAAGCTAAATGTACATTAAAATGATCAATTAACTACATCATGGTTGCATGACTTTAACAACCCTTTCAGACTGTATTTTTTTTAAAATTCCCTGAAAGTTTGAGTTAGAATAGTTTGCAAGAGTGCAAGTATAAACATAAAGAGGCTGTAGAAGTTGACTAGTGAGTACATGAGTTTTCCTGTTTGGTGTGATGATGTTTAACGTCCCAGGCAAACTTTGCAGTCCCTTTTAGCCACATGTGATTGTTAATTATACTATGTTAATTATAGTGAAAGTATATAATTATGTCTTGTTTTTAATTCTATACATTTGCCTGATGAAGGTCAGTGGACCGAAACGTTGCGTTTAATAAAGTTTAAGAATTAGCAAGTATTGATAGTGTGCGGGTTCGTTACTTATTTTTGAGCCACATGTTAATAACCACCTTTTCAAAACAAATAAAGCTCTGATTGGGGAATTTAAACTCTCAAAATCTGGCAACTGCAACCATGAAAGCATGTGGAGGCTTGTTACCAATGCAAGATAACGCAAATGCCAAAATAGAATAAAACATTTTCAGGAAAAATAACCAGCAGGCAAATATCGCAGACGATTATTCTTAATAAATCTAGAGAAGCAGAAATAGGTGATCACGATTAACATACTTGTAAGAATCATGCAGCCCTGACTGAACTGAACCAACACTGAACTGACTTGAGCTATATATTGACACTACTGACTGCTTCACAGCAGAATCTGAACTGTCTCCATGGTTGACTTTCCATAATTTATTCTGCTATTTTCCTGAAATAAAGGTGACTTGACTGACTTGATTTGAAAAATCACAAGGGCTTATTACTAACGTATTTTATGTCATAGAATGAAAAAAAAAAAAAACAATTCAAGAAACCCACTGACTTTAAGAAGTTCTGGCCTACAAAAGCATGTAATCTCTGTAGCACTCTATAGGCCTGGATGTGTAAAAGTGATTAATCTGATGTGTAGTATTTAATTTTTGCTTTTTTTGCACCTTGAGAATTTTTTCTCATTGTTAAGTCTATTGCTGTCTCTTTCTCACTCATAAGCTGTAGATACATTTGTGACTGAAACTCTGCAAATGAGCCATGTGCGAGCGGCGGCAGCCGGCATCATCTCAGCAGGGTATCTCATGCTGCAGCTTCCAGAAAACTGGGACGAGAGCACTTTGCGCTGGCTCAGCAAACTGTGGCGTGGAAACTGGCGAGAGGACAGTATAGTTGGAGAGGAGGCTGCAATGGACACTGCTGGGATTGTAAGAGCAAAACCCAAACCAGCTGTAGTGACACTCAACGGAGCCTATTATGAGCAGACTTGATTTGATTCTAGTGTTGGTGTGATAACATCATAAAATCTTTTGTGTGTTTGTGTAAATGCAATTACTTACATTGTAGTTCTGTTTTCATGTTGTTTGAAATGTAATATGTCTTTATTATAGAACCATCAGATTCGATGATGATAAGATTATAATAAAGATTAAATGAAAGGCAAAAAATTTACATTTTTAACATAACGGGGTTTTTTTACATTTAATGTATTTGTAACAGAAATATATTTAATAAGTTCATTTAATTCATTAATTTAAAAATATGTATATTCAGCATATTATCAGTGAATATGAAAAAAAATCCAAAAATATAAATTTCAGTATGGTCATGACAGTGTTATTTTAGTATCATATTTTTAAATTTGTTTTTATTTTTCTATTTTCCATTGTTATTTTAAATGTAGTTTAAAAAATAGTAGCTAATTTTGTTGCGTGATTTTCTCATGTATATTAGTTTGTTTTTGTTTTTTTAAAGATGTTTATATTTCAGTTTTAGTTATGTTAGTACATAAAGTTAAACTAAATGAAAATGTTATACAATAAATGTTATATATATAATTTTATTTCAAGTACGGAATTTTTTATGGTTTTAGTTTTAGTTAATTATGTCATATTCGATAAAAGTGCAAACAAAACTGCAGGTCCTACATTCAGCTCGCTAGATGGCGCTAGTCCATTTCCGCAGCACTTTATACATTTCACCGCAGAAGTTTCGAGCAGGAAGAATTATCTGTGTTGAGAGGCGGCTGAGGAGGAGGAAAGCATGGCACTAAACGCAGGTAAAATGTGAATAGACTACTTATTCTGCTATTGAGTTCCCTATTTTTATCTTTCAATAATCTTTATTTACTTGACTTACTTCCGTCTTGCTAAAGTAGTGCATGTGCAGCCGCGCTAAAATAACATCTTGACGCTAGCAGGTTAGCGCTTCAGCTGGCTGTATGGGTGTGCTTTTTTGTCACTCATAATATCTAGATCTTCAAAATGGTTTTAGCATAACAGACTATTAGTGACAACCTGAATTGGTATAACTGTCTGAAAGCTCCGTGTACACAGACGCTAGCTGGTTGTTTCTGATCCGTATACATCATGACCCGGACACACGAGGAATCTGTGTGCTCTGATGAATCTAGATGATGAGGACTTTGAATGGGAGCCTCCCTCCGAGGCCGAGATGAAGGTGATTCAGGCTCGACGGGAGCGACAGGACAAGATCAGCAAGCTGATGGGAGGCTATCTGCTGAAGGGGTACAAGATGCTGGGGGAGTGCTGTGAGCTGTGTGGGGTGAGGGAAAAGCACATTCATTCATCTGTGACTTCAGAAAATGAGTGATTTATTAGTGAAAATACATGCAAGAGCCTTTCAGTAAATTGTAATAATAACTAAATATACAGTTTGGTACAATATTGACAGTCTGTGGATATGCCCCATTATTACAATTCTGACCAATAACGATAGATGGATATATATACTCTATCATTCAAAAGGTAATAGTTGTTTTGTTTTTTTTGTTTTTTACCCCCAAGCAGGGGCGTAGCCATCATATCAGAAGTGAGGGGGACAGAAATGTTATATATATATAACCTGGAGATGACTTGACAAACCATATTGCCGCAATCGTATATTTAATGTCTTCATGTTTCCGTTTTTCTGAAAACAACTGTTTTCATACAGCGATAGCTGGACGCTTTTGTCCATTTCCTCGTATGACTTTCTGCGCGAGAGCGCCCTCCGGGCTTCGAGTATGAATGAAACATACACTGCACGGAATGTTTAGCGCTCAGCGATGTTCATCTCGCCTTATTCTCCGCGATGTTCATCTCGGCTTATTCTGGGTCCGAATAAAACATCAGATCATGCACCGACTATCCTGTCTCGTTGAATTTAAATCTATATTTATTTACACCGACTCTTGAAAACCTCTATGCGAACACACTTGCCCGAAAAAGTGCGAGGGACGAATTTACGTGATATTAAAAGTTGGGGGGACACGTCCCCCGCGTCCCCCCGAGTAATCTACGCCCCTGCCCCCAAGGATGCATTAAACTGTCTTTTTCACTTGCTGTTCTTTTGAACTTTCTATTCATCAAAGAATCCTGAAAAAGTCAGTTTCAACAAAAATATTAAGCAGCACAATTGTTTTCAACACTGATTATAAGATATGAATAAATTTGAGCACCATATTAGAATAATTTCTTAATGATCATGTGACATTGAAGACTGGGGTAATGGCTGCTGAAATAAAGTACATTTCCAAATACATATAGGCTACACACACACATATTTATACACGCATGTATTAATTTAAGCATCAAAGCATTATAATAAACAATATAAAATACAGATTAATATTCATTTTGAGATCTGCTCTGCTACAGGTTAAAATTCTGTTTGAATTTTTAAAGTAACATTTATATAATTAGTGAGACTTATGTTGTAAGAATCAACATTTAAGTATCTGCCAATACAAATTAAAAAAGAAAAGGAAACAAAAAAAAAGAAAAGAAGCAAATCTGGGATTTAAACCTGGAAATAAACACATTTTAACTTTCACATTTGTTTGTAATAATTAGGTGATCTTTTCAATAAAATTGTTATGCATAAATTATAATTTCTAAAGGAAAAAAGCAAAAAAAAAAAAGCATTTTCAGTTTTTTGGACCCCACTAGAATTACAAAGATTAGTATTTAATTCATATTATTTAAGTTAAGGAATGCAATGAATTGTCCTGTATATTTGCAGACAATTCTGCTGCAAGATAAGCAGAAGAAAAATTACTGTGTTGCTTGTCAAGAGCTGGACTCCGATATTGACAAGGACAACCCAGGTACGTTTAAATGCAGCCTTTGAATAATTTATGAATGTACAGTCTTGTGTATCTCTGTTAACTTGTTCAATTTCTCTTTCAGCTTTAAACGCCCAGGCAGCTTTGTCACAGGTACGAGAGCGTCAGCTTGCGACTCAGCCTCTCCCTGAATCTAACGGAGCTTCATCCAGCGAACCCCCTCCCTCCATCACGGGGCAGCCCCGGCCGGAGCACTGCGAGGGGGCCGCATCTGGACTGAGAGGTCTCCCTCCCGCCATACAGCCCACCCCTCTTTCTGTTCCCACCGTCAGCTCCAACTTTCTGCCACCAGCCAACCCTCCTCTCCAGACTGCCCCTCCTTTAGTGTCCTTGGGCAACACCCTCCACCACCACCCAGCCTTGTCAAGCGCAGAGGAGGCAGTGCTACACAAACTCAGATGGGCCACACAGGAGCTCCAGCACTCTGTGTCAGTGGAGGCCAGTATCCAGCTCTGCAGTCTGATCCGAGGCTGTGCCGAATCCCTGCGTAGTTTGAAAGAACTGCAGCTCTCATATGAGTATGTTACTATATATATAGTAACATACTCAATGGAGTGTTCCGGTTGTGTTTATGTTTGTTCTAAAGTGGCTGAGTATGTGACTGTGTTGTGTGTTGAAATACATTGCTTGAGCTGCAAAGGCTGTTTCTTTCTCCCTGATTTGTTTGCGTTCGAGTTACATTACAAGTTTTAACTTTCTTTCTGTTTCTTTATGAACTCATAATTGGTTGAAAACTCCAAGTTTTATGAAAGTACCAACTTATCCTTTGTGACAATGTTAGAACAACTACAGTTGGCAAAGTTAAGTGTTTCAAAGCAGCAACAGATCCATTTCGGTGCTGTGAGTGCTGTTTTGGTAACAACAGCATCATAAGTTTGATAGTTAGGGGTATTCCACTGCACTGCTTTCCTATTTTTTTCCCAGCGATCATTGCACTAATGCCTTAGTTCAACTTAAAAGTATTTCTTGACCTTGCACTTTTTTTCATGATACTGCCCTATGTCTAGCATTTTTGCATTCCACTTCAGTGTGTTCCATCGTTTTTCCATGTTTTTGCAGTGGAATGCAAAAACGTGTTTTTTTCCCCCACATTCCACTGCCCATGTCTCACATTTGTAAATGCAAAAACGTGTTCTTTGTGATGGGCCATAATAGGGGCCATTCACATAGAACATGTTTTTATGTTGAAAATCATTTGCATTCTACTGTGCTGCTTTGTTTTTTATAACTTTTCAAGTTATAAACTTGCAATTGTGAGTTTACGTCTAGCAATTCTGACATTTTTTCCCCTCTGAATTATTTGGTTATATCTTGCAATTTTGAATTTTTTGTCAGAATCATGAGTTTGCATCTCGCAATAATTATTTTTTTTCTGCCACAGAATGAAAAATAAAAAGGGAATTGCTTTTTATCTCAGAATTATGACTTTTTTTCTTGCTAGTGCGAGTTAATATCACACAATTCTGAATTTTCTTCTCAGAATTGAGAATTTATATCTAAAAAGAAAAAAGTGTCGCTCGAGTTAAAATAATTTTATTGTCTTTTGAAGTTGCATTTTTCAATTCCTTATCACTGTGTCATTTTTAAATGCAAAAACTCATTTTTCCTCCCAAAGCAAAGTTGAGGCTCAGGTGAAGCAATTGGAAAAGTCCTTGAGACTCAAAAAACTACATAAAAAGAAAGGAAGAAGATGATCAGCTACATTAGTTGCTTTAATTGAGGTTATGCAGCTGGAAATGAGAAACAGCGCCTCGCTGTGGCCGAACGGCGCTCTGGGCGGAGAGATGCAGTGGGCGAGGTTTCGCTGTTCCAAGACAAAAGAAAACGTTAAACGAAAACAAAGCAGGGCGCCTTCATCTTCTCTCCAGGGTTTCCTGTCCTGTTTTGCCTATAATCTAAGGCTAGGAATTTGTTTTTATCTCCAGAGTTAGATTTATGCCATGCTTTACGACGAAATACAAATAAGGGAGACCGTCAAATCTAATGCCTCCTAAGAGCAAAGATTGTCAAAGAGTTTATCAGAGCGAAGTTATTTTCTGTTATGTTGAAAACGAGCTACAAGTTATAGTTCAGTTTCAAACAGCGGTTATATATGAGGAATCGCGCATAGATTGTTACTTTTCTGTTTATTTTCCGGAAATTACTTTTTGGACGTGACAGTTGCAGTATTAGGTCATTCGTGCGCGCTCACCTTCCGTACCATCTTTTTTATAGAAAGGCAGTATTTTTCATCTCAGTTGGTTATTTTTTGATGGTGTTTGAAATAAATGAACAAAATAACAACACCGGGCATAGAAGAGATTAAACCCAGGTTTTTATTTTAAAAGCGAAATCGGTGAAATCGGAAATGAACGGGTTTCAGTCCAGTCCAGCGGATTGTCCGGCTGGAAGCGTCTGTTCTATTGAAGGTTTGCCTCCGTTACCTAAAGGACTGAGCGGTATCCTAAACTCGAGCGGAGGGTCCTGGAGGGACATTGAGAAGGTCTACAGCAAGAGGACGCGCATCCAGGCGGACATCAGCAAGTCCAGAGTGAGCGACTGTCTTGGCCGCAGTAAACCCGCGAGCCTTGACGCAGCGCTGGCCGTGCTGCGCAAAGAGATGGTGAGGACGCGTGCCAGTGTGACCTTCACTGAATGTGTGCTAAATTGGCAACTATTAATGGGTCAATGACACATCAACATCAGAAATTATAAAAATGACATTTAAAAAAAAGCTCTTTGAAATGACGTATGTTTAAAAAAAATTTACTTAAAAAAAGTAAGAAAGAATAATAGAATAGAAAATAATGGAGAAAAAAATTTTTTTCCCTTTTTTTTAAATCTGTGGACAGTTAGACCACCTAGACATTTTGACTTTGAGCTAAAAAAAAATAATAAATAAAATGGCTTAATTCAAAATTGAAAAACAAGTCATATATTATGCATGTATATTATAAATAAATATTTTAAATTGCATTTTGTATGAAAAACATTATTGTACAGTCATTTTGGTCTGAATTGCATTTTTGCTGCATTTTGAAAAGGTTAATAAATTAAAACAATTTTATTAACATTTTCAGTAACAGTTCATTGACAGTTTTATTTATTTAATAAATAAAATTGTATTTATTTTTTTTGTAAAATTTTTATCACACAAACATAACTGTTTGAACATGTTTTTTTTTTTTTGTGCTTTAATGTTAATTCAAGTATATATCCGAACATCCACAGCCTAAATGTTCTTGTGTCTTTTGCAGGTTGGACTTCGACAGTTAGACATGTCCTTGCTGTGCCAGTTGTGGTCTGTTTATGAGTCCATACAGGAATACAAAGGAGCTTTCCAGGACATTTCCTCCTCTTTGTGTGAGAGCTCCTTCAACACCGAAAATGGTTATTCTGAAGATGAAGAGGAGGAAGATGAAGATGAAAGGGAGAGTGGGGAGACGCTGTTATCACTTCCTCAGCCCACTCAAAACTCCCGTGACCAGTGGATCAAAGACTCCTTCCACATCCCCATTTAAATGAAGCATGTGCTCTCTCAGCTACAGTATGAATCCCATCTCCCATGATCCTCATCAATATAAACTGTCAAACATGACCCCATTGTTTGAAGGATTCTATAAGCATCAAAATGAAACAAGGCCTTTATTTTTGTAGGATATTATTACAATGGTGACTGCAAGTTTGTTTCAGGGGAACCATGAAAAGCCGCTTTTTCACTGCCTGTAAAGTCATAAAGACCGGATGAGGACTGACAGGAAGAGGATGTTGTAGCCAGAAACAGTGCGGTCTAGGATGTTCATTATATTATGTAGATTTGTCAATGTATTATCACTTGCCAGATACTTTTTTAAAATTATACAATAGTATTTTTTTCACCGCTGTCTTTCATTAGTAAGGTAATCATTGAATGCAGAATGTGCATTTTGTAAAAAAATAAATAAATAAAAGTAATAATAAAACTTTATTATTGTCAAACTTAATGTCAAACTTTTGCTGGAAAAAAAGTGGTTTGTTTTCTTTATAGTTTAGCTAAACTTTTGTTGTCTGGTATTTTATTCACTAACGTCTCAAATACCTGCTCAAGATGTTCAAAATAGCTGTCTAGTGCAGATATGATCAGATCAGCCATTAGGTGGCACTCATTTACTTTCTAAAGTTTCTAAGCGGATGTTGTTTTGAGTCATGATGCCTGGACTATTACAGTAAACAAAATAATTGCTTCGGGAAACATCTGTGCTCTCCATCATCTTGGTACCATTTAGCGCAAAAGAAGATTGCTAGATTCTTCTCCTTTAATGTTTATCTTTGAGTCATACCAGATACATGCCATCTGATTAAAACAAGTATTCTAAATTTAAATGTTTGGACAGAGGCTCGTTCAGATCTTTCTGAATCACTCTCTCATTTCTCCGCAAGTATAAACAAATGGTTCTAGCTACTCTTGTGCTTATTAGGTAATACTGCTTGATACTTTTGTACCAGAGAGAGGGGGGAGGAACAAGCTCAGACACAGGCCAGGCATTACTAAAAACTCTTCCCATCACTACTATAATTACAGTAACACTGACTGCATGTCCTGTCATTACATTGTGCTTTAGGTTTTATCAAGTCTATATGTAAGTCTATAGCATTTAACATACAGCAATATACTATAGCAATTTAAAGTTTAGTTTAATTTTAATTTAACTTTGGACAATCAACAACACACAAGTCTTTTTGCTAAATTTTGAGTTAGCTGATATTTGTGTTCCTGAAATTAGACTATAGCTTTGGGTTTTATCAAGTCTGTATGTATGTATATAGTATATATAATGAGTATGTATATATATATATATATATATATACACACACACACACACACACATATATATATATATATATACACTAATTTAATAATTACATTTAATTTTAAACAATGCAATAAATTAACAAAATAAAATAAAAAACACTAATTTACTAATTGTTTAACTCACACCCATATATAACCTTGGTTTAATCTGACATTTATTTCAGTTGACGTTGAGCACGTGGATGAACCACAATGTCTAAATTCGGGGAGATCAACAACTCCATGCTCACTGCAGCTGCTGTCAGAGTGTGTCCTCCAAAGAAAACCAAACAGTTATTAAATGTTTCTGTCTGCTGTCTGCTAAGTGGTCTTCTGTTTGAGTCTTTGCAGGTAGACACAGGAAACAAAGCTCTGGGCAGTAGTACAGCGCTGAGCATTTGTCATTATGCCACAAACCCCACTCGTGTGTCAAAACCTTGCTCTTGGCTCACTGAAACATCCAGTACTTTCCACATTGCATACCGTTTATTCAGAGAGACTATCTTTCTTACAGTGTGATAAACTGCACATATTTAGTATGACGGAGTGATTAAGTGCTGAAGGATGTGGCATTCCTCTAGAAAGCTCTCTCATGCCTCTATAAATAAAACACAGATGTACAAGATATTGTTGGATACGCGGTATGTCTATTAAAAGTAAACTCAAACCAAAGGTCATGTATCTTTTCAATCACATCTAAATAATAAAAATGAAAAATGCAGTTTCTGCCCTTTTATAAATTATAAATATTATGGCAAAAATTATACTTTTTCCCCCTCTTTCTGCTTTTTTAACTAAACGTTTTTAAAAAGCCATTTCTATATTTCTAAAGTTAACTTATCAGGGTTTGGAAAACATTTAGCCTGTTTTGGATCTGAATTACACTGCTGTTCAAAAGTCTAGAGGATTTTTTTTAGGTTTTTGAGGATTTTTTAAAGGTTTTGTAAGTCTTATGCTCACCAAGGCTACATTTATTTAATCAAAAGTACAGTATAAACAGTAATATTTAAATATTATTACAATTTAAAATAACTTTCCTATTTTACTCTATTTAAAAATATTATTTATTGGCTGAATTTTCAGCATCATTACTCTAGTCTTCAGTGTCACATGATCCTTCAGAATTCATTCTATTATGCTGATTTGCTACTCATAAAACATTTCTTAATATTATCAATGTTGAAATAATTTGTGCTGCTTAATATTTTGGTAACACTTTAGAATAGGAAACACTTATTCACTATTAACTACGACTTTTCCCTCAATAAATTCCTAGTTGGTTGCTTATTAACAGTTAGTAAGGTAGTTGTTAAGTTTAAAGGGGTCATATGATGCGATTTCATTAAGAGACCCTAAAATAAAGTATTACCAATATTTTTGTAGAAACTGATATATTTTTTCAGCATTCTTTGATGAATAGAAAGTTCTGTATTTTTCAGAAAGTTCAGTAACTTTATAAATGACTTTAATTTCACTATTTTATCAGTTTAATGTGTCCTTGCTGAATAAAACTATTAATTTCGTTCAAATTCCAAACTTTTGAACAGTAGGCCTAGTGTATGTGGTTGCAGTTGAACAGTATTTCATCTTCATGTTTTTCAGTAATAAATGAGGCTCTTGTTTTTTTATGCCTTGTACTCTAAGGTGGTGTGTCATGTCATTATAAGGATGAGGCATTTCTTGATCCACCTAGTGAGTAAGCATGTATTATGAGTGAGCTCATATTGTACCCGGATACAAACTCAGCTTGTGATGTCCAGTGAAGGGAGGGGCCCAAAACTCATAGTCATTACCACAAATCACTGTTTCCCAGTTGACTTAAGACTGTTTGCAAGGTTTACATGAGCTATAGCTGATATTTGCACACCTGAAATTAGACTACAAACTGTATTCAACAAATCTCGAAACAAACCCCTGCTAGTTAGTTTTGTCAATAAACACATGCTGATCAGTTAATGTTAAGGAGCTTTTCTGAAATGCCCTATAGGGTACAAATAATATATAACATCAAAGGGTTTTTGTATTTCTAAAAATGTCATTTAATTTTATTTCAATATATTTGAATATATGTTATATAATGTTTTTATAAATACATCATTATAATGGGGTTAGCAGTAAGTGGCAACACCAGACAGGAAGAGGTTAGTGTCACACAGGAATATGACTAAGAGCCGAGGGTCACCGATTTGGATTCTAGGTCATCAGCTGAGTCAAACGTTTGCACTCCCCCCATAACCCACACAAACGGCACCACTCCGTCAATCCCTCCAGCTGCTTCTGCCCGTTTATCCCTCACTCCCAGCCATCTAAAATAGATCCTGCGTAACTTGAAAAATCCCCTTGCCAGTGTCCACTAAAAATACCCATCGTGATCCAGGTCTGGACGGCCCCGCGTTGCTGCTCCATATCATTATGTTGATAAATGCACAGGGCCCAAGCACTGAAGGTGCATAATGTATTTCTTTGAAGCATTCTTCCTATTGTGCGAAAGTCTATGTTAGCCCATTGAACCACATGTTAAAAGGTTATGTTCATCAGATTGTAATTTTAACCTTAATATAAATATAAATTTACATATAAGATAAATATGCTCATACCTTGGGATTATTTTCTTCTAGAGTCACATAGACCAATTTTACACATTTGTATTGGCCATATTTCAAGTGTACCAATTAGATTTTTAAAAATAGTGCCACCTATTGTTCAAAAGTTATTAGAAACTATTGTAAGTAATTCTTCAATAATTCAGCTCATTGATAGCTGCTTTTTTGCTAGCAAAATATGATTTTGACATATTTATACAGTACATCCTCTTTTGACCTCTAGCTGACTGGATGTTACCCCTGACGCGTTATGTCAGCAGTACCTTTAATACTGTACTGAATACAATACAATAAGGGAGGTTGCATACTGCTGCACCATAGGCGTGTTTGCATAACCCTTCCCACCTACTCTTGCACTTCTACATCCACTTTCATCAGTTCACTGTGAGACAGCTGCTTTTTAGAGGCATTTCGTATCGCGTGAAGCTCCACGACATGAAGCGATAAAGTCCCCCTAGATTTTTTTACGCACAAATGTTGTTTTTTGCACCAAGGCAACTAATTGCAATACACAGAGATTTTCTCGCTCTGGCGTGTAACGTGATGCAGTAGTTTCCGTAAATGGTCTTTACTCGATGGCGACAGTTCGGTGATACTGAGCCGCATGAGGTGCAGCCAGTGCTCCTCAGCAGAAACATTTCACTTCACGAGCCACTTGACAGCCATCTATTTGAGTGGTTTTTACTTTTTGTTCAGTGGCGGGACTGTAAAAATCTTATTTCCATGCGTCTGACTTCATTCGCGGATACTGCATTTTCTCCAGAAGAATGACTTCAGTGTGGAAAAGATTACAAAGAGTTGGCAAAAAGGCCACTAAATTTCAGTTCGTGGCTTCGTATCAAGAACTTGTTCTGGAATGTACAAAGAAATGGTAAGTTATGATTTCTTTTCCGTTATAGCGCGTGTGCTTCCTAAATACGCAGTGCTGAAGGGCGGTTCTTCTGACTGAAACAGCACCGTGCGCGCACTCACTGGATCTTCTTTTATTTTTGCGCTGTTATTGTAAATGATTGTGAATAGAACAATTAACACAGCAGTCGATTTTAGAAATGTATTGGAGAACGTTGACAGTCACACACCTCCACTTCCGCCTCCATCACTCGTGCTGTCAACACTGAAGATATTATGAATATCCATCATGCTCACCTAAGCAGAAGAAAGTGCTGATGCTTCTTTTGAGTTTTATTTAGCTGACTCCTATAAACTGTTTATTGTGTTGCCAGCATCTATAGCCTATATTGTTTCAGTGTTTTAAACTGAGTGGTGTTGCTTTTTTCTTTTCTGTTTAGGTGTTGTCATTGTTCGGTTTTATTATGAAAAGCTTTAAAGAGCATTGCTCTTGACTTCATCCTTATATGGCCAAGAACATAAAATACTTCGTAAACTACTTTATTACTGTTTTTACAACACATTACAACTCAAATTATATGTTTTTATGCAATATGTTGCATTTATTTCAATTTCATACCTACCCCCCAAAAAAGTTTGTATTTTCCTTGTAAACACAATGTTGAGGTGAGAGAATTCAATAATTGAATTATTTTTTGCTGTCTCTGTCCTGCTTTGATCAAGAAACAGCTGTTGACAGACAGGGAGTGTTTCTGTCCTCACATTCATCAGTGACACGTGTATTATATATCTGTCCTTATCTATGATCAAAGATAGCATGATCAGAAGGAATTCAGTCTGATTGGATTTGAGAAAAATGTTTTCAATCACAAGTACACAGCAAACACAAAAAGGTGTGTCTTTAAATAAGATCCAACAAATCAAACCACTTTATCATTACTAAACCATATACACGTGTGTAAGAGTAAGTGGAAATCTTGGGTGCATCGTCCACCAACATTGGAGTTATGTAGTGACAGTATAAGACAATATAAAGATGCAGAATACCCAGTGTGCACAGTATACACACAATATACATACACAATATACACAATAATATACATATTTCACAGTGCACAAGAGCGCTTCCATTTTAGTCAGTTTTGTGTTTTAATCGGTGATATTGACTATTAGCAATATTCTCTGAACAAGTCATGGCCTGGCCAATGAAGCAACCCTCCGTTATGCAATGGCTTGTCATCTGCCTGTAGGAGAAAATGAAACACTCATTGTAATTTCTGCCTATTACTGAGATTTATCTCCATCATACATAGCCTGAATCATTTACTGGTGATGTAAATTATCTCTATTTGAGCGATTCTAAATTTATGTATTATTTATTATTTTTTATTTAATAATAATTCATATTTAACCTTTCAACATTGTTATTGGAAAGGAAGGTTGGGTTAATAGTAAACCTGAGCAGTCGTAAATGTTGTTATCACCTAATGAGCTTTCAGCTGATGTGGAAAAAAGTCGGATTCTTTTGCAACAATATGAGGAAATCTTTTTCACAACTTCACGGTTTCTTTTGCTGACCTAAACATGTGTCTTTTTGAAAGCAATAGAGCAGTTAGAGTGTTTCTAAAGGGGAAAGGAATGAAAGAATGTGCATTTCTATAAACGCGTGTGATCTTGTGCAGTTCAAGAGATGATTTACTGTATAGCTGTGATTTTCAAATACTGCCAGTGGGTCAAAGTCTGTTGAAGTTACGCCACAGCTGAGGAGGGTGTGAGCTGGAGATATTAGACAGCAGTGGTTGCACTTCTGATGGCGTAGTATAACTTGAACGTGTGTGAGCACGTGTGTTTATCTGTGACATTTAGTTCACGTCAAAGTGACAGGAAAAAAGAAGGACTGCATTTCAAAACGAAAATGACAGAAAATTGACTTATTTTTCCAACCAGGCTGGCAGTCTATTTTTACGTCCATCTGCGCTCTACCCACAGCCCTCTCTTCTCCTCCTAATTTATCCTTTTAGACTGTTCTGCCCTGTTACTATTACTAGCTGTAACCTGAGTAAGAGCTGGGTCTTGCTTCTCTTTGTGTAGCGGTTCATGCTGCTACTTACACACCTATTAAGTTTACCTTTGCAAATATCAGTGTGAACATCACTGGAGGACTATGACATTTACATCTGGGTCACGTTCATTAAGAATCGTTTTGGTGTGTTTAAAGTAGTGCTGGGCGGTATACCGGTTCATACCGAATACCGGTGTTTATTTTTGTTATGATATGAATTTTTAAAATACCGCAATACCGGTGTATGTCGCTTAAACAACGTTCGGAACACGACACTGTTTGAAAGGGGTCCCTTTTCACTGTTGCACTGTGGTGAGGGAAAGGGATGCTATTTATTGTTCCCTGTTAAACCTGTTTGACCTTCTTCTGTGGAACGAAAAAGTAGAATTTTTTCATATACTGGCCATGAGTTTCCATGCAATTAGAACAAACAGGGACTTCAAAAAGCAAGCAAAAGCACCATAAAAGTATCATAAAAGTGGTTAGTGTGACTCATATGCTATATTTCAAATGTTCTGAAGCTATGAAGTAGCTTTGTGTGATGAAACATAGATAGTTTAGTTTTTCATGCAGAAAGTCTTTGGGTTTAAAACATCATGAGAGTAAATACACCACCGTTCAAAAGTCGGTACGTTTTTTTTTTTTTTTTAAGAAATGGATACTTTGAATACATTGAACTGCTCAAAAGTGACACTAAAGACATTTATAATGTTACAAAAGATTTCTTTTTCAAATAAATGCTGTTCTTTTGAACTCCTGAATTAATTATCACGGTTTCCGCAAAAATATTAAGCCGTTTTCATCTGTGAATATAGTAAGAAATGTTTCCTAAGCATCAAATCAGCATATTAGAATGATTTCTGAAGGATCATGTGACACTGAAGACTGGAGTAATGGCTGCTGAAAAAAAATCAGCTTTGCCACCACAGGAATAAATTACATTTTAAAATATATTAAAATAGAAAACAGTTATTTTAAATTGTAATATTTCGCAGTATTACTATTTTACTGTATTTTATAATGCAGCTTTGTTGACCATAAAGAGACTTCTTTCAAAAACTTTAAAAAACCTTACCAACCCCAAACTTTTGAACTGTATCTATAATGGCAAAAAATTTTTTTTGTTCCCTTCAGTGTTTTTGTATGCTTAATGACAGCTTTTATATCACAAAATATAAGCCGCCATTATTAAATGTGAACAGCTGTTTGTAAACACAGTGAGACTTAGTGGTTTGGAGATTACAGGCCAACACCCCTTGTGCTGTGAGCCAAATTCAGCTTGGTCATGTGACCCTGCCGAGTTTCCTCCAATTCTTAATGCATCAAGCATGACACTGACTGAAAGCTCAGAGGTGTACAATGGGCTCACATCTGAACAATTCACTATCAAAGGGCAAGTTTATTTTGTAAGCAAAAGCATACATGTACAGTGCAACCTTGGAAAAGGTGATTTTCATTTATTTGTTTTAAAGCTGCACATTGATTTGCATTTTTGCTGGCAATACCGGCAATCCAAAATAATGTTCTGGATATGGTGCTGTGCCCTCAATAAAGAGACTTAAACAAGAGAGGAACTCTTTAACGTGCATGCAACGTTTTTGCATTTTTAAATGGTAGCATAGATAACAATGCAGGGCAGTAAAAGTAATTGATTCAACATGTTCCAGCAGACACCAAATTACGACTTGGTTATTTGGCAAGACAAAAAGTTTCATGCCTCAATCGATTATTTGTTCATGTGTACTTGTTTGTGAACAAAAAGTTTCTCAGGTTTGGATTTATCTTGTATGCAAGGCCTTGCATCATGTTCTCTTGTTTTTGTGTGGGGTTTGAAACAGTTGGCAGCATTTATTGATTCCTTTCTGCCTTGGGGTAACACTGGGAGACAAGATCACAAGATCTGTTACACTGCCTGTAGCTTTTTGTAGACACACACTCGCCAGGAATGCCACAGTGGCTTTCTCAAGATCATATTGTATAGCCTTTATATTTAGCCTATATCCATATTTTAAGCACACATGGAAAGTATTAGAGTCATCGTAGAGGTCTTCATCAATAGTAATTAAAGGACCAGTCCTATAATTGAACTTGTAAGCTCCCACTCAGATCTCTTTTTTTAAAATTATTTTATAGGCAACCAGACAAACTGAGAGTCGTGTGGACACGGAGAAACAGGCGCATTTGCTCAAAGGTACAGAGATAAACAAGCTTTAATTGTCAATAAATATATAGATAAAATATTTTAGCTAATATTATTATGTTAATTAATGTTTTTATTGACCCATATTAAATAAAAAATGTAATAGTTTTTTACTATTTTATGTACTGTACATCTGGATTCAGATTATTTGCGAAAGCTAGTGTAATTTAGTTTATGACTATGTCCGGGAATCCAGAATTTCAAGATGATTTTCTTCCCAAGTTTTCAGTCCGAACAGTGTACTGACATTTTAAATGATCATGTATAACAATGTGTTATTTACAAGTGCTTACAATGATTACAACTGCTGTTATAATAATGTGGATTATTATGACTGACATCATCTTTTATTTTCTCATCAGCTTCATGCATGGCAGCCAGGCATCAAAAACCCCTACAGGGGAATGGTGGTATGGCCCGTACCTGAGAACGTGGATATTACTGTCACACTCTACAGGGTAGGACACCTATCACTAGGCCTGTCGCAATAATCTGACTGCTAAGTAGTGATTGTGTTTTTCAGCAATGGTGTGCACCCTTAATTTACAGAGAAAAGAAGGTCCGGGAAAAATCTGTAGATGGAAAAATCTCCATACAAGTTCTTTGTGCATTTTTCTTTTTTTCTACTTGTTACTTTGCACTTTTTGTTAGAAAATGTTTATTTACTATTTATTCAGGTTTTTTAAGGTATCTAATATTTTGATACTTAATTTCCACGATCTAAATATTCTTAAAATTAAAAGTTTGTTGTCATTTGGAAGCGTGTTGGCCTTCTTGCATTATTATGCTTTTATATTATGATTATATATTCAGTGGCATAAAATGGTCTTTAAAATGACAATAATCGCAATTATTTCTGGGGCAATATATCGCACAACAAAAAGTTGTTATCGTGACAGGCCTACCTATCACAGCTTATTATTAGCTATAATATATATTATTATATTACATTAACTAATAATATATGCAACATGCGGCTTGTTAAAGATACTGATAGATGCTGAACTATAATTTGGGTCAGTAAATTTGTTGAACTTTTTAAATATGGTTTTGTTTGACAGGACCCACATGCGGATGAGTTTGAAGACAAAGAGTGGACATTTTTCATTGAGAATGTGAGTTTATTAAAATCAAGGTGAACTTTCTTTGAAGGTTTATTACATTTATTTTATATTAATTATATATATATATATATACATCTTTCCCAAAAAGACTCATGGCTGTATTAGATCAAAAGGGTGCTTCTACTCTAAATACTGAGCATGTGATATTTCAGTTTTTTTTTTTTAATAAATCTGCAAAAATGTCAACAATTCTGTGTTTTTCTGTCAATATGGGGTGCTGTGTGTACATTAATGAGTAAAAAAAATTAACTTAAATGATTTTAGCAAATGGCTGCAATATAACAAAGAGGGAAAAATTTAAGGGGGTCTGAATACTTTCCGTACCCACTGTATATATATATACATACAGTATATTTATATATTATTTATGTAAAACAATTATTTAAATTATAAAAAAAATTTATTGTCTACATGAACATATACTGTAGGAAATGCAAAAATGAAAAAAAAAAAATGTCTTAAAAGAAAATAATAAAGATTAGTTAAAAGAAACTGTATTAACCTTCTCTGATGTTCTACAGGAGACAGCGAAGGGCAGTCGGAAAGTTCTGGCGTCTGTGGACTTGAACATGAAGAAGTTTGCCAGTGCCACACACTCACAGACGGACCTGATGCTCAAAATGAAGCCTCTGTCGGTTAAGGTGGTGGAGGCCACGCTGAAGCTCTCCTTATCCTGTGTGTTCCTCAAGGAGGGGAAAGCTACGTGAGTTCTCTCAGTTGATCTCATCCATATGGAGTTCTTGCTCAGGAAGTTATAACACTTTTCATGTGGTGTTCAATTATCTAGATTTAATCATTTGGGAATGTGACCACAGCAAGTCTTATTTTGTGACTGCACCAAAACTTGATTTCAGTTACAGATATTTGGAGTGCATTTTGAATCTAAAAAGAGAAGTGGCTGCCTGCCCGGTCAGGGGATTTGCTGTTCAACACTGGGGAGGGTTTCTTCCCTGACATGTGCAGGTCAAGAAGCGGAGCAGAATTTTCCAAAACAATACAGCGAACTCTCAAATCACAGCCTGAACATCTAAAGTAATGCCATTTGAGCTTTGAGCATCATTGTAGAGATGCTACATTAAGTAGTGCAAGAGAATTTTGTGCCTAATTTCCATTAGAACATCTATCAAATAACCTGTTCCTGAGCCTCTAAAAACTATACATTAATTGATTTCATTAAAACAAACAGCTCATAATGCTTGATATAATAACACATCCAGAAATAGACATAGAGGCTTAAAGGCACAATATGTAATTTTTTGTCACTAGTGGGCGCGTATTCAAAATAAACAAAGAGACAAAGGCGTAGTTTGATGACGCTGTGACTGAGTGTGGAATCATGGGAGTTGTCGTCTTCATCCCCACAGCCGATGCAATTCGACGTGACTCGGGCAGAAATCATGTTCATGGATGAGCTAATGATTTATTAATGTCGTAGAATGAAGCAGGGTGAGGCTGAAAGCAGTCGAAGCGAAACGAGGCCGCTGAACGAGCGTGACACACGGCTCGAAAGCAGCGGAGCTTTTAGTATGCCACAGTCGACCGCTTCTGCTCCTTCCGGTCGTGCGCTGTTTTATCATACTTGATACATTTTGAAAGTTCTGTTATAATGCTACTCTGTGCGGTCGTCACCGGTCTATTAAAACGCACAACATATTAAAGCGTCTTTGGTGTTTCCATGTTTTCGGAAATTGAGGGGTTATGTCGTCATTGGCAGGCGACACAATGACACTATGGACACGCTCCGTGTCACTAGTTAAAATTGCTTATTTCTCTGGATTTAAACATTCTTCGAAACATTTGGGATAATGTAAGTACACAAGTCAGCAAAATATATAACACTGTTCTAGTGGTTTTTGGATATTTTAATAAAAAAATCTTACATATTGTGCCTTTAAATAGAGATAGAGGCTTAAAGTAGTCTCACTCTGCAAGACATAAAAATGGAAAGCATATCACAATCTGGAAAGCTCTTAAATGGCTGGTTGACTTTATGTATTTTCTGGGAAATGAGACACATACAGTACACACACAGTAAGGTTTTCACATTTTCAATGAAGCCCTTTACCTGTACCTCTTGACAAATTCTTTGAATTTTTCTTCTGTAGGGATGAGGACATGCAGAGTCTCGCCAGTCTGATGAGTGTAAAGCCAACGGACATTGGGAACCTAGATGACTTTAATGAGAGTGATGAAGAAGAGGATAAAAGATCTAGTACCGGTGTTAATCTCAGTACTGCAGTTCCAGGTATTAAAAAAAAACAATGAACACATGTTATTCACCAGAAAATCTAGGATTCAACATCTAATTTATACTTGGAAATAAGCAAAGTTTTAGGATTCTGAAAAATCCAAAACATGTCAAATGAAGAATAATTATTTTAGATTCTGCACTATTATCATGCTGATCATTTGTAATGAATACTTGAAGTGTTAAAAATTGTAAAGCATTATACAAAAGCTAAATATTGTAGATGCATTTTCAGCAGTGGTCTCAGGCTTTATGAGCTCACTGTATAGATAAAACACTTTCAAAATCATGTCATGTATTCTTTAGCTTACATCTTTATTCCTCTGTCCACTTACACAGGACTTGAATTAATCATTAATGATGCATGTTTATTTTCCTTACTATAATAACCCTTACTTCCTCACATGCTAGAACTTCCCCTTTTCTCTTTCTTTCACTGTCAGCACCCCACCTTCCTCTTCACTCCCAAGAAAAGAGACCTGCATCTCTTAAGAGCCCTTCAGCAATAGGTAACAGCAACCTTTACATGTGTTCTTTGCATATTCCTTCCTTCATGTCACCAATCATTTTAATATCCTTTTCTCTTGAAATTCAACTTATAAGTTCTTATGAAACCACATCCAATTAATTATTTCCATTAAATGAAATATTACTAAAATGTTTCATGAATTTTCACTGATATGGTTTTCTTGCGTATGATTATCACAATCAGTCTTTGTCCTGCATCGCTTTGGCTTGCATTTTTTCATGAATTTCATTAAACCTTTTAATTATCTAAATTAAAAACCTTCATTAATTATTTATTAATTGAAAGGGAGTAGCTCACCCCTCCAAAAAATTTTATTGTCACAACCCACTGTTTAGTTTAGTTTTTTTCCTGGAACACAGAAGAAATTTTGAAACATTTTCATGCAACTTTTCTTAACAAAAGTTCATAATGGACATCGGGATAAAAAAAGTTAATTTCTGACAACAATTCAGTTACGATTCTTTACCTCATTATTGAGATGCACTGTGAAATTGGGTCACAATTCAATTTAATTTGATTATTTTAGAATTATGCATATTTATTTGCAGAAATATGACAAATTACATAAATGTAACTGGAAAGACAATTTGCATTACTTCAATATTGACAAAATAATACGTCAGGCTTTACATTCACAAAACTAAAGTTTGGATAAGTAATTAATATACACTACCAGGTCAGTAAGATTTCTTTTTTTTTCATAGAAATTAATAATTTTATTCAACAAGGAAGCATTCAGTTCTATTCATCAAAGAATTTGAACAAATATATCACAGTTTCCAAAATATTAAACCGTTACAGCACAACAGTTTTCAACATTCTCCTTTAGTGTTACACATAAAAATAACAGCATAGATGTTTGGAATGACATGAGGGTGAGAAAATAATGATAGAATATTCTTTTTTTGGGTGAATTAATCCTTAAAATGTATTTTATTAAGTTACATCATCATCCTTCATAATAAATTCCTGAACGTTCTCTCTCTCTTACCTCTGTCTTTCTCTTTTGCCTCATCCCTTTCCTTCAAACCTGATCTTTCACTTTCTTTTTCACTCTTTCGCTGTCCTTCTCCCTCCATTTTTCATCTTAACCTCAGTCAGTGGTAAAGAGAGGCCTACTGGTGGTGTCCTCTCACGCCCAGTGTCTGGCAGTGTTCATAACCCTGACCTGACATCACGTCCACCTTTACCCACCCCACCCAGTCCAACCCCTCGCACCATGCCCTCACCCGCCCGCTCCAGACCACCACGTCCACCACCCATTGCCCAGCCACAGGCCCCACCTGACTCCCACACAGAGCAAAATACTTCTGGTTTGCTCCCTCCAGCATTGCCCAAAATCTTCCAGCCATCTCCTGGCTCAGGTACCACAGCTAGAAGTCATCAAGTCTTTGGTAGTACCATTGGTAGCTAGTTGGCATTCCTACTTGACTACAATTATTTATATGAACAGTTATGCTGCTTCTGTGGCTACAGTGTGCACAGCCTTCAGTTAGGGGTTTAAGTTCCTCTTTTGTGATAAAACCATTAAAATGTTTAAGGTCCCTTCTTCAGTGTTGTTTTTTTTTTGAAAGAAATGAATCCTTTTATTCAGCAAGGATGCATTCAATTGATCAAAGTGATAGTAAAGACATTTATAATGTTGCAAAATATTTCTATTCAAATAAATGCAAATAATGTAGTTACCGGCGTTAGTCTGATTTTATCTGTATTTTTATCTCGCCACCCATAAAATTCCTACCTGAATGACCTACTGTTTTTTGACAAACGCCAGGGTCATGTGGTATAACTTCATTCCCTTTTGAGTCATCACCTCTGAGTTTACATGGAGGAATTAACCTAAATGTTGTTTTGAAATTCTCTTTGATTGAGTATGTGGCATTAAAGAAATTGTTTCAGAAAACTGAGAACTGAAAATCACTATGGCCATATACACATTGCAAAGTTTTAAGAGTTACAACCACATTTAAACCGAACAAAGAACAGCGGCAGTCATATTTAGCTGCGGGTGTGAATTCATTGTCATCATGGATGTGTTTTATCAAAGAAGGCCCATGCAAATATTGTTTTACAAGCGTCACCCAGAGAAACAGTTACCATTCTAAAGGTGCTTATGCATCTGTGTTTTTCTTAACAAAGCCTGGACTTCTAGTATAGTTTCTCTGTCTGTTTTTCCCTCTGTGATTGTGTCCAGCTCCTGTGTCCTTTCAAAGAAGACTGTCGGGCTCTGAGGCCCCTCTGGAGGGTCCCGTGACCTCCGACTATCCTCTGCTCAAACTCCCTCGGGCTTCTCCTTCTGATCCCTTCCTCTCTCACTCTCCTTCTCCTCCCACTATGCTCCTGAAAGGTACAGACTCATGATTCCTAAACATTTACAGATTACATGCAATTCAACCTCAAAGTATGTTTACTGTAATTCTAATAGTATATGTTAGCCTGATTTGACTCTTTAAGACTGCTTTTGGAGAAGTCAGATTCATTTCCTCTTAACCACTGCCTCTCTTGTTCTCACTTTTCCCGCATCTCTGACTAATCTTCTTCTTTCACGTGGTCTGTGTCCTTTTTGTGTCATCGCACTTCTGTCTCAGATTCTTTCGGAGCCACTCGCACCAATGTTTTTAAGCCCAAGATTGTCCCCGGTGCTCGCCCTGTATCCCCCACTCCTGTCCCTCTCCTCGAGGCCAAAACTTCTTCCCTCTCTCTCTCTGACACATTTAAGCATCCATCTGCTGGCACTGTGCCAGGTATTGAGAAATCCTCCAGACTGCACATAAACAGCAGAAGCAGCAATACTAAAGTACAGTTAACAAATGCACTTAAGATATTAATAAAATATCTTGAACATAATTTGTTCAAATTTAAATTACATTTTAAATTTAATATTACTAAAATAAATGTAATATATTTAATCCCGCTTTCTAAAGACTGGTCAGAAATCATAAAAATTCCAATTAATTTATCAACAGCATTATTTTTTAACAATAAGAAAAAACAATCTGCATATGTTTAAAAAAAAAAAAAAAGAATTTTAAATAACATTTAAACAATTTGCTTTAGTGCAATACCAATATAAAAGACAATTCTTTTAAAATTATCTTTTAAAAATTGTGTCTGGTTAATATCATGTAATATCATATACTAATATTTTCCTCAAATAGCAATCTCAAATACAGCTGCCTTTATATTTTAAGAAGGGTCCCTCGCAAGGGGATCATCATATTCGGTTGTCTTTGAAAATGTTGGAAAGCCCCTGCTCTGATGTTTATATCAATATTTGCTTCAAAATTTAAAAACGTCACTATATATCTACAGTATATGAGCCTCTTTACTTCATCAAGTAATGCCTGTTACTTTATCTCAAATTCTAAAACTTCCTTTATTTATATATATATATATATATATATATATATATATA